GGTATATACACACATAATTTAACTAATTGAATTGATATGGACTTGTGGCCTGTCCAGGGTGTACCCCACCCCTCGCACTGTGACTGCTGGATATGGGCACCAGTGACCCTGAAAAGAAGAGTTAAAATAACGGATGACTGATGGGCATTATTCCAAACTTCCAGCTGTTTTCTTCATATTCATGTTTCTAATTAAAGCTGTTTTTAAATGAAGAAGCAGAAAGAGTTTACTAAATACACAGATTTACAGTTGCTTTTACATTTTGGCTTAGCATCTGTAAAATAAGCAACGACACAGTGTATTTTGTCATGTGTTGTCATTTTTTGGATTTATGGATTAGAATATTTTTGTCACATCCCATCGTTTAAAAACGTAAATTCATTTTCTTAAAGTGTTTAACATTTCCTCTATGAGTAAAAACTAAAATGTGAATGATATGATGTTTTTTAAATGGAAAGTAAGTACTGTATATACTGTAGATTATTTTATGATGTTTATGTATATATCTAACTCATGTTTTCTCTTTATTTTGTGTTCTCAGATGGATTGACTGCTGTTTCTCTCTTGTCTACGCTTGTGTCCTTGAGTAGCCACACTGAACATGTGTTTGTGTGTGTTCTCTGTTAATCATCACAGGTTTAGTCCATACGAGTGGTATAACCCCCACCCTTGCAACCCTGACTCGGATGTAGTGGAAAACAATTTCACCCTGCTTAATAGTTTCTGGTTCGGAGTTGGAGCTCTCATGCAGCAAGGTAGACGCCTCTGCCTGCCCCTCTTTTTCTAGCACTGGTCCCACTTTTTTGCTGGGGGTCAATGATTCTCTTTGACTGGGCCCATGGCCATGCATGGGGGCCTCTGTGCATGTAGCTAGATGAGTTCAGCAAGTGGAATTGTGCCGAGGTGGAATGATGTTGGGATTTATTATGATGCGTCTGCATGTGTCACTTCTCCGTGTAACATGAAGTACTTTCACAAAACACTTCAAGCTGTGACCAAGGCGTCCGCTTCCCCCTAATGTACCTTTGTGACACCAAGCAAGGCAGTAACAGAGCTTTAACAGTCAACAAATGAAATGGTAACCCGACTTTATGGCTCATGTAGTGATGACTGACTGTCCCATCCATTGGATTTAAAACAACAGTAAACAGATTCATTACAGAAACATTTGATGATAATGGAGAGCAACTTTGCATTTAGCAGAAAAGTTTGGTTAACCAGTAAAATGATCACTAAACTGAGTTAATTTGTCATGTTTTGAACATGATATAAGATAGATGTCCATCACACTTTTAGTGCGTAATGCTCCATGTCAACACAGCTTCCATAAACATTACTTAACTTCTTTATTGTAATATTACTTTTCGTTTTACTCCTTTACTCTACTTCTTACTCATTTCTCAGTTCTGTGTAGGACATGTCATATTTGTTTAGTGATTTATGAATAGTTAGCAGCACTTTAAAGATGGACAGATCTTTAGGGTCATTTTGCCGAACTGCTTTGTGAAAGTGCTCAAAGATGACCCTCACTTCTCCTTTTCCAAATCTATTTATAGCAGGTAAGTGAACCCAATATTATCCGATCATCAAATGTACTGGATTGAATGAGAAAGTCAATGCAGCCTGTTGGCTTTTGCTTCACTCTCAAACCAGTGCAATATCTTCTCAACTAGTTGTCATCCAACAAAAACTAAATAAATAAATTAAAAAAACAGAAATTGTTAAATCATTTTAGTAGCTTTTGCCTTTTATACTGACTAGATGGTAAATACGTTGCATTCTTTTAACTAGAATTTATCCTAAAGCAAGAGACAAAACTACATATGTTCAATCATGAATTAAAACCTGGAATGCCTGGCACTGTGTGTGTCTTGCAAAAATCCAGTGAAGGTGAGCTTATTGAAACAGCTGTTTCAGGCAAAGATGCTTTAAGGGTTCAGTTCATACGTATAAATGAGAAGAACAGAATAAGTTCTCAAACTATTAACCATTTGCTGTATGTTTGTTTTGAGATTGTTGTTTTTGCCATTAAAATGGAATAGAATGTGATATATGTTGTGGTCTTTATAATATTGAACAAAAAAAAGTTTTTTTTTTACAGGAATTACAGATTTTAAAACTCAGATTGTGGACTGAAAAGGAATGCACTCAAATGTGTCATTGACGGTTTTTATTTAACTCAGAGATAATTCCTTATAAAACAATATCAAAGTCCTTATTGTAAGATTACAAAAAAAGTAAAAAAAAATTCACTTTGAAACACATTGCACTACATAGTAAATAAAAATCCAATATAAAAACAATTCTTACTGTTTTGAAAGAGCTGTGAAGGTTTTATTTATCATAGCAACAAGGTAACTTTTGCAACTTTTTTGTTTTAAATTTTCTGTAAGACTTTTTTAGGTGGGGAATGGAGGGATGTGTGAAATATGTTTACAGATTTTAACAAATGAAAGTAAAACTTTAGCTGTTTTTGTTTGAGGGGAGAGAGAAAGCCTTTTAATTTTTTTAATTTCGTAAAGCTATTATTTGTTGTCTGATTATTTACTTTAATTTGTTTAAGCTGCATGCCTACTAAAACTTTGGAAACTGTAAGACAGAACAATCATATAAAATATGCAAACATAAATATTGTGACTGCTGATTGCGCAAAACCTTAACCCCACAACTTTTTTCTTTAAATGAAAAGAAAAATGATAAAACAATCTGAAAGAAAGATGCAACTCTCATGCACTTTAGTTGCTCTGAAAAGTCTGTTTATTTTTTTCCAAACCAGGTGCAATACATGAAACAATGTCAAATGCAAATTTAATTGTTAGTTAAATGCTAATGTCAGAGAAGTAAAATGAAATGCCTAGTAAACACACACATATGTGACAACCAGTTGAGAAAATTTGACTGAGAGTTCTGAATGTGTAGGATGGATGAGCACTGTGTTTGCATGGCACAGTACTGATCTACACTGTGGAGAGGCTCCCCTGTGTGGCAGCGTGCCATGCCCCCCAGAAAACTGTGGGACGTGCTGTTTAGTCATGACGTTACCTTGGGTACATGACAGTCAGCCCCAACCAGACTGTTTGGGTTCGACTTGCCTGTCAGAGTGTTTTCTCTTGAGGTTTCTGTGGTCAAACAGGGTAAGAGGTTTGATAATTGTAATGTTCCACTTCTGAACCTGTATCTGTTGCTGGGTCTCAGTCTGCACAAACAAAATCAGTTCTTATCACTAATTCCCAATGTGTGTTTGTATGTTTTATTAAATCCGTAAAGTGGCATTAACTTAGACTGTGACTGGCTGTGACTTACTCAAAATAATGAGAAATTTAAAAAAAAAAGTTTCCTTTTTTGTTGTTGTTGAAGTCTCAGATTTCCATGTTTTTAGGAACCAGAGAGCTCTGTGGCTTAATTTTGCACAACCAGTTTTTGAAATTTATTTGCATGTGCACATGCACAGTATATTCAGCTGTGTTCTACATCATGCACATTGTTTTGTGCCATCAAAATTGTACCTAGCTCTGCCAACTTTATCCTGACTTTTTGCAACCTCCATTTTTGATTTAATGTGAAAACTGTAAGATTTGGACCAGTTGTCTTCATAAACATATTCTGTATGTATAATTTAAATTCATAAATAATGTGATTTTCAGTTCTAAACGTTTTCTGTCAAAGGAGAGCTCTCATGCAGGTGTCAAAATACAACTACAATGTTCTTTAGACAAGTTTGACACACCCATGACAACTCTGTGGCCATTTTTTGGTACAAGTTAAAACTGCAAGCCTTTGGCATTCAAACGAGGGAAACTAAGAACCCCTGAGAGTGTTTTTAAGACACTTTAGAGATGACACGTTTTTGTACTGTTTGTTATGACTCGGCTGCACTAATCAACATGAAATTTGGCAGGAATCTTGATGTGTCCGACCTACACTGTGCCAGCCAACGGTTTTACGATAGACCCCATATTTGAGGAGGGGGCTCCACCTAAAAATGTAGTGGCTGGACATGCAAAAAATGCCTGTAACTCAAAACCTATTCACCATAGGAGTTTCAGTTTGTTTTCTTTTTTGTTGTTTAGCTTTAACAAAGGGCTATCAATCGGGCCCACCAATGAATTTAATTTCATTCTATTCTATTCTATTCTATTCTATTCTATTCTATTCTATTCTATTCTATTCTATTGTTGTTTAGCTCTGATTAAAGGCTATTCATTGGGTCCATCAATGAACCACCCCATTCTCTTGGACCTCTACCCAAAACAATAAATCTGTCTTAGAGAGTTCTGGTGCATTGGTACTTTGCGTACATGCAAGAGTCATACATGCTACCGCTATGCAGTATATTGTTAAAATATTGGCTCCAGCAATTGCAGCGCCGCTGATAAATTTTACTGGCTTAGACATCGCCTGTTGGTGCTATTGTGTACTTCTGTGTAACGAGCGCTGCCATTACTGTGTGTTGGTTGTGGACGTCAGAACACTGTGTTCATACTGTAGATTACAGCTTTGCTCCATCATTTTGTGCCTATACAAACCATCAGAGCAAGTTTTTTTGACATCATGTGTATGTGCAGTGTTCAGTTACACACAATAGTGACACTTAACTGTCTATGAACATTTTTACTGTCTGAAAATAATATAAATTTGTCTGTCAGCCTGGTCTAAATCATTTTTCAGATACATTTTACCTATATACACTTTTTTGGTGGGAAACTCTGGTATAAATAATTTTAAATATTGTATTGCATGTTTAAATACAGTATAAGTGGCAATAGAATTGTTCTATAAAATTAAATGGGTATGTGTTAAGCTGGATTGGGCTACTTTATTAAGGGGATGCAGAATAAAGATAATTAAGCGTAATATTCTGGACGCAATAATTTTGTTGCATTTGTTATATTATTTGGTGCATAATTCTGCAGCTAGCATTATGTACTGCTGAATAGGTAGCCTTGGCTTTACTCCAGCAAGTACAAAAAAAATTTACATGTTACATGTTATTTTGTGTGTTTATGTCTGTGAATTTGGATATGTGCTGCAGTTTGTAGCAAAACATTCAGTTCCTCATGTGTTAATCTTCCTTCTCTTGGGGTCTGCACACATATACATATGGTCCGTGTTGGTGCATAATCAACACATAGCAATGGCGGCGCTGCATGTTTCAAACCACGTGATGTCCAATCCATTATATGTATCAATGTGCAGCACAGTGTGATACTGGCTTAATTCTTATTATGCATTTCTTTTAGCAATTGTTACTCATAATGTTTTGCTGAAACATTTAGATGAAGAAACAACAAGTAGCTGGTGGTCATGTTAAATAAAGTAATAAAGTAAATTCTCATGAGTTTAAAAAAATAATAAAAATTCTGTATTTTTTACGTTCACTTTTATGGGAGCATGTAGTATTTTATTTTTTATTTATTTATTTATTGTATGCAGGACCAATGCAGTCATATGAATAAATGCAATTTTGTGTTACAGACACATCCAAATTAGATGCACCACCTCAATTGATTCCTTTTGATGCAGAGGCACATCAGCTCAACACCAACCTCCCTCTAAATAACAAAGCTTCTCATCCTATTTCTAAGGCTGAGAGTAGCTACCCTACAAAGAAAGATCCTTTTGTCTACTTGTATGTTTTAACTTATTCTTTTAGTCATAATTTATACCTCACAACCATATGTGAAGGATAGAATGTAGTTTATGACCCAGTGAATCGAGACATTTGCTTCACTCAACTTTGCTTCACCATGATTAA